GGTCTCCCCGAGCGAGGCGCGCCGCGCCTCTCTCACAGCACGGGCCACGTCGTCGTTGAGGGCTGGGACCCCTGGTCCAGCGGCCCGCCCTCGTTCCAGCACGTTGCGCGAGACGGCCGCCAAGGTCTCCGCGGGGCCGAGCCGGGCGCCCGAATCCTCGTCGACTAAGGCGAGGGTCAATGGCGCGCGCGGGCGGAGCAGCGCACTGAGGAAAGCCTCGGCCTCGCCGGGCGCCGCCGCCGCCAGACGCAAATATCGGCGCATCTGCCTGGCCCGCGCGTCCGCGAGCGCTCCGAGGGTCGCGGCAGCGGCGCCGCCCGGACCTTCCTCCGCCGGGGCGGGCGGGGGGCCGGCCCGCGGGGGCCTGGCGAGGCCTGCCCTGGTCGGGCGCCTCGGCCATCGGACCGCCACGAGCCCGCTCAAATGCCCCCGGATGGCGACAACCACGGCCCGCCACCACCCTGCATGGTCCAGCGCTGCCTGCCGCGCGCCGCGCCACTGCCCCGCCGCGAGCCAGGCGCGGATGGTCGGGTCCCGGGAAGCGACCGCAGCCCAGCCGGCGACGAAGGCCAGCGACGCCGCGGCGCCGGCCAACGCGCCCGCCCAGTCCGCGCCCCCGCGCCACCGCGCCCGGCCAATGTTCGGCGCCTCGTCCACCCGCATCTGCCCGGGCAAGCGGGCGAGCAGGAGGGCGTGGTCCGCGGGGACACCAGGCGCGCCCGGCGGGATGACCTCCACCGCCGCTTGCAGGTCCTGCGACGTTGCGACCCAGTCGATGGCCGCGCCCGATGCGTGCGTGGGCGTGGCCCGCGGGTTGCGGACCACGGCGTCGAACCCTTCCGTGGCCCGCAAGAGCTCCCGGACGTGTCGCTCCAAGGGCACCTCGTAGCGCTCGCTCGCTGGGGCCAAGTCAGTCTGCGAAGTGCAGGTTGGCGTCGCCCAGGATCGCCAGGGACCACCCTCGGAATTGGGGCTGGAGGGCCAGCCTCCGCCACTCCATCAACCGCGCGTCCCAGAATTGTCGTCGGGCCAGGGCTCCGTGCGCAGGCGGCGGCCCATAGGCCGCGAGGACGAGGACGCCGCCGCCCTTCGCCCCCGGGAGCGGCAGCCAGAGCGCCCGCTCGTCGCCCACATCGGTCACGGGGGCGGTCGTTTCGCCGAGCGACTCGTGGACCAGCACGGCAACTGTGCCCGGGGACGAGGACCGCTCGCCATAGAAGGCGTAACCCGCGTCTGGCCAACGCGCGCCAGGCCCGAGTCGGGGCTCCGCGATGGCCGCCGCCGCTACCTGCGCTGCTCGAAGCCGCTCGAGCACCGAAACGATCCGGGCCTCCTGGGTGCCCACGCCCCCGCGCGCGCCAAAGCCCCCCTGCACGTTGAGCGCCGCCAGGACTCTCGGCGCGGCGCGCGCCGCCCGGGGCGCGGCCACGCACTCCTGCACCGGTGGAGCGCCCTCCCAAGCTCCATGAACGCGCCCCGAGAGTGCCCCATGCCCGCCCAGCGCGCGCCAGTTCTGAGGGGTCGTCGCCAGCGCCGTGTCGAACGTTCGCCACGTCCCCAAGCCGCCCTGCACCAACGCGCGCGCAACCGGGCCTCCTGGCGGGCCTTTCGGGAAAATTGGCCGGGCCGCCTGGAGCGCCCGGACGTCCCGCAAGAAGGACGCTGCTGCCTCGCGGCGTCGCCCACCCACTCCGGGGACGTCGGCCGCCTCCCAGCCGCGCGCCTCAGCGGCCGCCGCCGCGGCCGCCTCGCCCGTCGCCCAGGCCGCGAGCGCCGGGGTGCCATCGGCCCGTCGCGGCCGGCGCAGCGCCGGGGTGCCGGGCTGCGCCATGCCGGGCGGTCGCGGCCGGCCAGCCGCCGCGGCCGCGGCGCGCGAGAGCCAAAATTGCCACGGCAGGGGCGGCGGGGGGAGGGAAGGAGGGCGGGGCGGCGCACCGCCCGCGGTCGGGCCTCGTCCTGGCGGCGACAAGAGGGAGGGGGCGGCGGCGGCGGGCGGGCCGGCCGGCCGGGCCGGGCGCCGCCCCGCCGACCCAACGCGCGGCCCCACAGCTTCCAGGCTCCCTGGGGCTGATCGCAACGGTGACTGGACGAGCGGCGACGCGGGGGGGGGCGGCGGCGGGCGGGGCCGGCCGGCCGGGCCGGGCGCCGCCCCGCCGACCCACCGCGCGGCCCCCCGGCATCCAGGCGCCCTGGGGCTGATTCTGGGCACCCGCGCCGTCGACCCAGAATCCGCCCCCGTGCGCCCAGCCGCCCGGGGCCCGATTCTGGGTCGCGGCGCCGCCGGCCCAGTATCCAGCGCCCGCGGGCCCACGCGCCGCGGGCGACGACGGCGGCGACTGCGACTGGGCTGGCGGCGACAAGGGGAGGGGCGGCGGCGGCGGGCGGGGCCGGCCGGCCC